AGGAGGAGGAGGAGATAGGTGGAAGAGGAGGAGGCGGAGGAGGAAGGAGGAGAGGAGGAGGCGGAGGAGGAGGAGGAGGAGGAGGAGGAGGAGGAGGAGGAGGGGGAGAAGGAGAAGGAGAAGGAGACAGAGAAAGAGAAAGGGAAAGGGAAAGAGAAAGAGAAAGAGAAAGAGAACGAGAACGAGAAGGAGGACGAGGAGGAAAGAGAGGAGGTGAGGAGGAGCGTGAGGATGAGGAAAAGTAGGAGAAGGACGAGGAAGAGGAGGAGGAAACGGAGGAGGAGGAGGAGGACGACGAAGACGAGGATAATGAGAAAAAAAAAATAAGTATAAAAAGAGATGCAATAGTAATAGAAATAACAACAGTGGTAAGGAAAGTAAATTAACTTCCGCGATCAATAGTACTATCAATATAATATGCACAGTCGCATGATATTTACATTGCTTGATTATACTCACCACACAAGGGGATATCTTCACTGATTTTACGTATTCCATGTAAGACCATATGTTTTGTATTTTCTGGAAAAAAAATAATAAACTTTTCATCTAAATAATTCCATAGGTAACTCTCCTAACCTTTCCTTCCTTGAAATAAAGGCGCCTAATTTCAGTTTTGTGTTGAAGCGTTAGCCATAATAACCATCATCTTGGCAAGGATAGTTTTTAGTTTTTGTTTTTGTTTTTGTTTTTGTTGTTTTTTTACAGAGCGTTCCAAGCTGAACTGAAAGACTTTTTTCTGTTTCAGCTGGAAGCATACTCAATCGATAACATATTGCAGCCGTTTCGTGGACAACAGCTTTTGTTATTTGCATCAAAAGTATTTCCTTCTCTCAAATCACGAGCTTAGTAGTAGGGCGATCACCTTAGACAAGCGCCAGTACGCACAGAGGCCGGAAAAGGCTATGCGTCCTCGTCCCTTGAGTCCGTCGTCTCACCTGACCTGTTGGCTGGGGCTCTATGCCTTTATAGCACAAGGTAGAAAACGAAGGGAGAAAACGGAAACGTTTGTTTCGACGGATCAAAGAAAACGTCTGCGTATAATCTTAGAGAATAGGATTTCAATGTGAGAGGAGGACGCAACTAAAATGTTTACGATGACTATCAGTGGCTATGAAACTAATGCAATTGCTTGCTGATGCACGACCAGTATTTATATTACATAGGTGTAACTGATGCAATGTCCACTCGCATATCATTGTGTCGGTTGCATGAATAATGCATCAACAAAATCACGAAACCAACAATCAATAGGATGTTTTTTTCAAGAAAATCGCCGAATGTTTAATTTCAAAGACAACAGCGTCATTAAGAACTCACGGTAGTTGGGATTCGATGCAGTGTGTGCATTTGCAAAGAAAAAAAGGAAGTAAATAATATACAAACATATATTAAGTTTATAGTAGTCGCATTACTAAGACAGACTGTAACACTTCTAAGAGGAAATAGACCTAACAATTCAACAAAAAAAAGAAAGATTAAATAAATAGATAAAGCGGAAAGGGAGAGAAAAAACTAGAACACGGGGTTATGACATGGGGATTTCCAAACCAGAGTTCGAACCGACAGTAATAACGTTTCAAGGAATAACATTGTGATATAAAATAATGGCACTCGCCGGAAGTGACGAAAAGGCGATAATCTGACCGAAAAAGTAGCCTCTGTGCGATTATAACTAAGGCGAAGCAAAGCCTGCAACACCACGTTAGAACTGATGATTCTCTATGTTATATATATATATATATGCTATGTATATGTTTCATATAATATTATGTGTGTATGGATATATATATATATATATATATATATATATATATATGTGTGTGTGTGTGTGTGTGTGTGTGTGTGTGTGTGTGTGTGTGTGTGTGTGTGTGTGTATGTGTGTGTGTGTGTGTGTGTGTGTGCGCGTGTGTGTGTGCGCGTGCATGCCTATATATATATATATATATATATATATATATATATATATATATATATATATATATATATATATATACGCTTCAAATACAAATAAACATGATATAATGATAAAGGTTAATCACACCGGTTGACATTGACACAGGGAATACCGTTTCGTCACGGAAAACAATATATCCTATCGTAATACAATGGGGATTGTTGTTGATAATCTATATTTGGCACCGACCAGTCCCATCACTTCGGGGTATGATAGGCCTATGAATTAATTTTCCCATCGTATTGTCGTTTTTTTTTGAGATAAAATAATTGTCAGTTCCGTGATATTTTCCATGTAAGGAAGTTTTGAAAAGAAAGAATAGGGAAAAATGGGGAGAGCTTGTAACATTAAATGACTGATTTTCACGTCATTCATTATTTCTTCGTGTATAAGACAATACACACACACACACACACACACACACACACACACACACACACACACACACACACACACACACACACACACACACACACACACACACACATACACACACACATATATATGTGTGTGTGTATGTATGTATATGCATACATACACACATACACAATGTGAGGACCAAGCTGTTGCCCTGCAGTAAGCTCCCTTTCTCCCCGCAGCTAATGGATCCAAAGGAACGGTATAGACCAGTGGTTCTTAACCTTTTAACTCCCGCGTCAACCTTGAGGAATTTGTCCTTCCCTCTACGCCTTAGTGACATTATAATTTTATATTGTGTGACCATGCTCTCGTTAAGAGAATAACGAAGAAATTACTGCCTTTTTCCCAAGGACTCCCTTTGGAAAATACTGAAGCCCCCCCTAGCCTCCCCCCAGGTTAAGAACCATAGGTATAGACCTATACGGTTTGGCAGAAGTTGCCAGAACGATGTCGCAAACGACAACGAACTGCCCTCGGGACTCGCCTCAGGGTTAACTCCTTTTTTATATTATAAATACCGTAAGGCGGGATTGTTTTGTATAAGATGAACTCCCAAAGCCTTTGACCATATACGGACTGAACTACAAGACAGCAGTCGGACAGCATTATCTTTTATATGTAAGACTAGCACAACTTTCTCAAACCCGTGCAAATTGCGGGCATGTGATGTGATGAGACAGACAAGCGAAAAAGGCCTTCGGCATATTCGTGTGTTTTCTATATATGAAAAGTCCAATTTCTATAACAGCTCTTATATGTAAAGACCAAACGCAACTCTGGGTCATGACCAACCCACCCACAAAATTTCATGAAAATCCCGTTAATTCTTTCTGCATAGTGTTGCTCATAAACACGGATAAAATAAATCCTACATAATCAAAAAAAAAAAAAACATTTTTCATTTGCAGTCAAGGTGCAATAATGAAATATGTAAATATATACTTTATCAGCGACGATAATTTTATCTGATAACTATTGCACCTCCCACTGTGTGATATAGGTCTTGAATACAGGGAGTCAGGTTAATACCAGAGTATTCTTGAATACAGAGAGGACTTACTTGCTACGGCAGAATTCTCGATTCAAATGAGAGAAAAAGTGAGTTAGACTGAAGTACAGTAAGTGTGGCTTTCTGGAGTACAGCTTGTGCGGGGAAGGTGAATAATAAGTGAATAATTAGGGTATTTTTTGAACCCATGAAATTGTGAAAACACGAAGAATCTCGTTATACACTATTCAATCCATCCACTTCCCTTTACACACACACACACACACACACACACACACACACACACACACATACATACATACATATATATATATATATATATATATATATATATATATATATATATATATATATATATATATATGCGTGTGTATGTGTGTATATATATATATATATAAATGTACACACACACGCGCACACACAGATATATAAACATATATATATATATATATATATATATATATATATATATATATATATATATATATATGTATATATATATATATATATATATATATATATATATATATATGTACATACAGATGTATACATATATATATATACATATGCACACACACACACACACACACACACACACACACACACACACACACACACACACACACACACACACACACACACACACACACACACATATATATATTTATGTGTGCATATATATATATATATATATATATATATATATGACTGTCGCGATAGCTCAGTGGTTAGAGCACTGGACTCCGACCCTCGTGGTCCCGGGTTCAATTCCCCGTCGCGGCAGTCGTAAAAATGCCTGCGCTCTGACTGCTTGCTCAAGCCCGAGAAAGCGACATATCGCCTTGAGAAGTCAAACGCAGGTGTCATAGGGGAAGTCACCGCCGTGACACAAGTGTTAACGCCCCGAACTGCGGTTGATTAGGAAGGGCATTCAATCAGGCAAGAGTGACACTGCCATACAACCTCTCAATACTGAATTGAGAGAGGCCTATGTCCTGCAGTGGAATGAATGGCTGTTGGAAAAAAAAAAAAAAAATATATATATATATATATATATATATATATATATATATATATATATACATACATATATGTATATGTATGTATATATATAATATTATAATTATGTCATGATTATAATCTTTATAACAGTCATCCTCATCATGATTATCATCATCAATGAAGTTGCCGTTATCAGCTGATCACCATTATATAATAACATTAAAAGAAATGTAGATTTATATAACTTTATTACCGATACCAAGAAAGACTCGTCTATCAGATCTGTCCATAATACTTTTACGATCGTATCTCAAAAAGCCTTGAAATTTTAAAGATAAAGAGATTATTAGAGCTCCGCCGACTGAATGGCGCCAGTATTGATTGCGCAATAAGGAAAAAAGACGATGATAACATGTTTATCTGCAGTTCATGTGAATTCGGGTAATTCCCTATATCTACTGGTGCGTCTAAGGGTGTGTGCGTCCGTACGTGCGCGTGCGCAATGACGTACCAAGCGTCTAGATGTACGCACACACATGCATACGAGTTATTCGTAAGGTGCGAACTAGAACAGATAAATAGGGAGGGAGAATGATATACGAATAATCCCACACACAACTGGCTTAAATATATCGCTGCATAGAAAACCAGCGGAAGCAAGGTCCTCGTGAGTAAAGTGACCTCGAGTACCAGTGCCCAAGCCAGTGTTCATCCACGCGTTGGAGGGGGAGGACCCGCGTGCCCTTTGGGAAGCTTTTATGCCTGTGACTTGTAAGTGTGACTTGTGTTATGACTTTGGCCTGTGACTTGTAAATGTGTTATGAGTATTGGCGTGCGACCATTGCCCCCGTGATAAGTAGGGCACAATTATCCATTTTTTGTTTGAGAAATTAATATGTGACGTTGGAAGTGAAACGTGATTTTCAACTTTTTGTGTTGTAAATTGTGTCTGGTAAGTACTGAAGTGGGCAACAAATGTGATTTTCTTAATACGTATTAACATGAACTTACTACTTCTTAACGACCGTCCACGGATTCGATACCGATATTTTAACATCGTTTTTTTAGCAATGTCAAAAAATAAATTGAAGTGATAAATCTGTGAATTAGAAAGGCCTGTGCTATGTGTTCGCTCACTGAATATTCCAAATATGCAGTTGAAACCGTGACTCACTGTGTTAAACTGTGTTAAATTTCATTGATGTCATCAATATAGGTCCATGTCATTTTTTTCTTTTTTCTTTTTGTATTGAACCCCTTCCCACCAGTATATAAGAGTTTTATCACGTGTGTGGGTACAGGTGTGGGTGGGTCTGGGTGCGTGCGTGCGTGCGTGCGTGCGTGTGTGTAATCTACAAATACTTAGAACTGGTTACTACTCAGTATTTCCATACAGAGTTCTTACGTCATATGATGTTCTGACGTCAAGGCTGACAGTGTACCATGATATATAATGAAATCTTGCAGAGCCACAATGACATACAAACGGAAAAGTGATTAACAGTGGTCAGTATAATACCCATAACTTGTAGTTTCATTTTTGAATAGGATAAATGTATTAGTCACCCCAATGCCAATGACAAAGGTGGTATTTCTTTTTCTAAACCTAATGTATTCAGCAACAGTACGAGAAGCAGATTTCGTTTAGTGAATGTTCTTAGATCCATACATTTAGAGAAAAAAAATCACACTGGTTGAGTTTCAGATACAAATAAGGCAAGCCAAATATATACCTATTTATACTTCCAACGTCGAGAAAATCCATGGCCTTGTACAATCACAAACTGGCAACCGAAGTGTTGGCCAACCTGTGAGGTTCTTTTCTCTAGTCTTCTTGTTTTACTAATGAAGGTTATGGGAATAAAACACCGATAAATAAACCAAGTAACGATAGATGAAAGAAAAAAATATTTATAAAATCAAGCAAAGTATAGCCGAAAACAAATTTCACCAAGAAAACAACTATCGGCAACTGTACAGTTACCAAAAACTTTGCTTTTGTGAGATGTTCTCTTTTTCCCAAATTAGCACGACAAAAAATAGGTAACAAGCATCGCAAAAGATTTTAAAAACCTCACATCGGACCATAAATACCAAAGGCAAACACGGCACCAGAGAGTAAGTATAATTAAAATAGGAATCCTTGTATTAGTGCGCAAACACCCCCCCTGAGAACCGAGGAAGGAGACAGTCATCGCCATGTTGCTCTAGAGGAACGTGTTGCTGCCTCTATTTTCCGCGATTTCTCTCGCTTTTTCCGGATCTAGGAGCGTCTGGTTTCAGTGCAAGTGTTTCGGGAATTCATCCTTTACTAGAGTGAGTATGGAGACGACGTGTGAAGGGGTAGTTCGTGGCGATTTTCAAACACATACGTTTTAATACGTATATACGTTTCGGGGTGTTGCCACATCCGGAGACGAATTTCTCGTTTTGTTTGTCTGTTTTTTTATTTTCTACGTTTTCTTGAGCTTGTGTTGGTTTTAAGTGAAAAGGGCGATGTAAATTATTAACGCACCTGTATTAAAGGTTTATTGAAAGTGCAAATGATACGGGATTTAAAAAATAGGGCAAGTTCTGTGTCATCTTGGATGATGGCAACGGAGAGAGTGACATTCTTTCCCCCTTATGATAGTAAATACCATTTATTATTATTGTCATTGGAGTATTGATTGTATTAATTTTTGTCGGTGTTATATTTGACTTCTTTAATTCGCTGACATCTCTCTGGAGTGAATCATGCTGCGACCAGATGCGGTCTTCATGCGCCCAGCAACAGTTATCTCTCTCTCTCTCTCTCTCTCTCTCTTCTCTTCTCTTCTCTTCTCTTCTCTTCTCTTCTCTTCTCTCTTCTCTCTTCTCTCTTCTCTCTTCTCTCTTCTCTCTTCTCTCTTCTCTCTCTCTCTCTCTCTCTCTCTCTCTCTCTCTCTCTCTCTCTCTCTCTCTCTTCTCTCTCTCTCTCTCTCTCTCTCTCTCTCTCTTCTCTCTCTCTCTCTCTCTCTCTCTCTCTCTCTCTCTCTCTCTTCTCTCTCTCTCTCTTCTCTCTCTCTCTCTTCTCTCTCTCTCTCTTCTCTCTTTTCTCTCTCTCTCTCTTCTCTCTCTCTTCTCTTCTCTCTCTTCTCTCTCTTCTCTCTCTTCTCTCTTGTCTTCTCTCTCTTTTCTCCCTTCTCTTCTCTCTCTTTTCTCCCTTCTCTCTTCTCTCTTGTCTTCTCTCTCTTTTCTCCCTTCTCTCTTCTCTCTTGTCTTCTCTCTCTTTTCTCTCTTCTCTCTCTTCTCTCTTGTCTTCTCTCTCTTTTCTCTCTTTTCTCTCTTCTCTTTCTTTTCTCTCTTCTCTCCTCTCCTCTCCTCTCCTTTTCTCTCTCTCTCTCTCTCTCTCTCTCTCTCTCTCTCTCTCTCTCTCTCTCTCTCTCTCTCTCTCTCGTGTGCTCTGTGGTGCAGCGGTAGCGATCCTGTCTAGCAATCTTGCTGACCTGCATTCAAATCCCATGCCGCCTGTGGATGGTAACCCTGGCCATTCCTTGTATACAGGGCATAATTTAGAAGCAAAATGGAACAGACTGTATGTCACACCAAGAATATCCATTGTAACAAATGGAATCATAGTAAATTATCTTATTAACTTATCTTATCTCTTTCTCACACACACACACACACACACACACACACACACACACACACACACACACACACACACACACACACACAATGTTATAGGTCATATAGAGAAAAAGTGATTTATCTAATTTCACATTATACATGCAACATGTTCACAAAATTTACTTATATATAACATATCTGTGAATAATAATAATAATAATAATAATAATATTAAAAAAGTTCTGGTTTACTGTCAGTGTTTCACAACAGTCAGTACAGTTCCTTTTGACAATGATTTTACATAGTAGAAACAGCCTCTGTACTTTGGTTATAGGCAATATAATAATTTTTCCCTCTCTCCTTCCACAGAAATGATGACTAGTAAATGCATGGAGGCAATCGAGAGGTGAAAGGGATATGCAGAAAGAATTTCCAGAGTTCTTGCATCCCGGTAACTCCAGACAGTGAACCCAGGTTTTATAAGAATGTGAGAGTAAATTTGCTATATCATATATTTAAGAGCAGATTATTTGGAAGAACTTTTGAGCAAACTTTTATTACAGTTATACGCCGTTTATGTTATCTTACTAGTGTCCTATTAGTGAGAGTTACTATTTAAAACGTATACGTCTTAAGAGTGTCGCATTTATAAAAGGGAAACAAAAAAGAAAAAGTGTGCAAGAATCAAAGTTTGTTATCGGAGGAAAACAAATTAGTGAATACAAGGAGTATATAAAGAACAAGATTGGAAACATTTTGAAAGAAGCCATTCGGTCATTGTTTTACTGACTGACAGGAGATCTTGTCAAGAAAGTATTACATACCCAGAATCAGGTCAGATTCTTACAGAGAGAAGAGATGGGTGACATGTCCCATGATCAGCGAAGCCTTGCAAGGGAGGAGTATCGGTTGAACACCTTTGGGAGCAGTGACTTCACGGCTGACAAGAAGAAGTTTGCCGAGGCAGGATTTTATTACACAAAGAAGGGAGATGACGTGAAGTGCTTCGACTGCAAGTGGGAGGTGGATGCCAAGACCATCAGTCCAGCAGATGACATTGCAAGAATTCACAAAGAGAGACGACCTGACTGCCCCTTTGCACAGGGTTTAAAGACTGTACCCAGGCCCACTAGAAACAAGACCTTTATATCTTATGATAGTCTGAGATATGAGAAAGAGCGATTGGAGACCTTCATCGACTGGCCTGTAAAGTGGCTGGATCCATCCGAGTTAGCCAGCGATGGATTCTACTACTTGCGTACGGCCGACCACTGCGCCTGTGTGTTCTGCCGAGGCATAGTGGGTGCTTGGGAGGTGGGAGACACACCGAGAGGAGAGCATCAGCGCCACTTTCCACACTGCCCATTTATCAGGGGTCAGCCAGTTGGTAATGTCCCTATTCATCATAGCAACATCCTAGCCTGCCTACCAAGCCTAGATTCCACACCCCAGAGCAAGAGTGCCAACACCCAGAAGCGCAGCACAGATGAATGCGGAACGTCAAGGCACATGGCTGGTTCCTATCCTGAATGTCGTAAGTATACCTCGTCGGTACACTCTGTTTACATTTTACTGTCACATATATTAACGTTGGTTTGACTGGACATACCTTGCAGTTATTGATATAATAAAAGATATCCCCTTAACCCAACTATTGGTTTATGTACTGTCTACTGTAGTTTTTAGTGAATTTTGTTACACTAATGGCATCACAAGTATTCAGCCAATTAGTTAATTAGTTGGCCCTAGTGATCATGCCTGATTCCCCCCTTTCCTTTAATAATTATTATTATTTACTTTTTTTTTAAGGGCCTATCACTGTGTGACCACGACAGACTTAAAAGTTAGAGTGGACATGGCATGTATGTCATGCCATCTGTGGTCTTTAGGTTCACCATGCTGTTCTTTCAGGTGGACCCCCCAACAAGCCTGACGTTTCCTGGGAGGAGATTGGCCTTCCGCAGTACTCTGGGCCAAAACGCAAGGACTTCCTGACGTGTGAGAGTCGACGTGCAAGCTTTGAGAGGTGGCCTGAACGTGTCACCCAGAAGCCAAGTGATTTAGCAGATGCTGGATTCTTTTATTGTGGTAAGTTTCATGATTTTGTTCCAGCTGCATGATTACTCTTTTTCTATTAAATGACTCAATGGTAATTATTTAGCACATATAAGATTCCCCATATCAGATTCAGGTAAAGTTTATATTATGTACTTAATCTGTTGATGCTGGTAATGTATATATTGATGGCCTGGCCTGATCACTGTAAAGTAATATTAATAATTTATATTTACATTAGAGGTGCTTAGTTACCAAGGAGTCAATTACTTGGCTAACCTGATCTCACATGATGATCTCATTCCTTGAATTTTCAATATTATTATTGACAATGTGATAGGAGTGTCAAATTGATGTTGATTGTGGCATCATAATTAATGGTAATAAAAGTATTAGATTTTTATCACAAAAGTTTATGGTAAACAAGTGAGGTCAGGTAAGCCTAATAATTGTCTCATTAGTAATAAGTACTTATGAAGCCACATCATGTAAACAGATTGACAAACAAAACCAGTGACAATGTATTTACCCAGTGCTAGTTGGTTATTTATAGATATTATTATATAATGATAAAATATACACACACACACACACACACAAAGCTGAAGTAAAGCAATATTTAATTGACACTTGATTCCTTCACAGGCTTGAGTGACCATGTCCGTTGCTTTCACTGCGGAAATGGTCTTCGTAACTGGGAGAAAGATGACATCCCTTGGAATGAGCATGCTCGCTGGTACCCTGAGTGTAGCTATGTTCTCTTGAAGAAAGGACAGGAATTTATTGACAAAGTACGTATGTTTGCTAATGTTCAAAATAAGCTACTTGATTTGTGATGAATTTTTTTTTTTTAATCAGTCTTTCATTGAATATCATTTTTTGTTTGCATTGAGAAGATTAGTCAAAAAAAAAAAAATCTTTTGGCATATATAACATTTTTCCCTGTGTTCAGGTTCGACGTGAGAAACCACCATACATCCGCAAAGCCCCAGCAGGAAAGCCAAGTACTAGTACAGCATCAGCAAGTGCCACCACACCAGGAGGTCGCACAGTCTCTGACAAAGATTTAGATCCTCTGATGGATTTAGATATCATACGAGGAGTATTGGGCATGGGATTCCCTACACACATTGTCAGAGCGGCTCTAAAGGACCAAGTTCAAAAGGCTGGTATGCCGTTTTTCAGCATGGAGCCCTGTATTGAAGCTGTCCTTCAGAAAATGGAAGAAGAAACCAGACAGACACTACAGGCTGACCCTATTGAGAGTGAAGCAACAGAAAGCCAGGTTGCCAAGATTCAGTCAATCCATTCTGGGAGTGAGTCTGCACAAAATACTGAAGTTGCTGGTTCCAGTTCTCCATCCACTTCTGGTGCACAAGCATCAGCTGCCTCAGAGCCATCCACTTCTTCAGCCTCTGAGGATATCACTGGAACTTTACCCACTCTTCCAGCCCCATCAACATCTACCAACACAGAACAATTACCCACACTACCAAGTCCACCGAGAAGTACAGATACTTCAACGCCTGTCTCAGGACAACAAGAAAATTCACAAGAAAGTTCAGCAACAGCACAGAACACAAGCTCCGCTTCACCCCAGCCAAGCCAAGGAGACGACGAGGCAATGGAAGTTGATGAAAGAGGTGCAGATGTCCATCCCATGGAACGAGTGATCATGCAAGCTGATGAGATAATGAGTATGGCAGAGGAAGCCTTAAAACCACCCAGTTCAGGTCCTCCTTCTCTGGGCCAGTCAGACCTTAAAGTAGTTGGCGAAGGCGAGGGTTCAGCAGTGTTGGAGCAAGCGTCAACCTCTGGTGCAAAACATCAGTCAGGAGCAGTTACTTCACCACAGTCTAGTAAGTGTATATAGTACTTTTCTAAATGATTAATTTTACCCTGATATTTTTGGACTTACAAGCTCTTGCAGTATGTTTATAAAACTCATCACAGGGAATGAAATTTTATTAATAATACATCATTCTTCTTTGTTTTTCCACAACTGTAGGCAAGCAGCTAAAAGTTGTAAAAGGATAAGATAATAGACAGTGTCATCTGAATTAACATTTGTTTACTTTTCTTTTGCAGCTAAGGAGTTAGCAGATGAGCTTGAAAGAATACGTGACATTCGCATGTGCAAAGTCTGCATGGATGCTGAGATGGATGTTGTGTTCCTGCCCTGTGCACATATGGTTACTTGTGCCTCTTGTGCAGTCGCTCTGACTCAGTGCCCCATCTGTAGGAAAGACATCAAATTCACCATCAAACCTATTGTCTCCTGAAGTGTGAAAATATGGAATGAATATAGTGTGCCTGTGCTTTTGTAATTAGAGTATATATAAAATATTGTGCACATTTTATTCAGATATGGGTTTGTATTGATTTTTCACATTTTCATATCGAGTTTCATGGCTATTCTTTTTTAAAGCAACTTTTAATTTCCTTCCATATGAGTGGGGGGAACAAAAACACATATACATGTACATGTGTATGTAGATATGTACAAACATGTAAATATACATGTATTTACATTGGGAGTATTTGTATATGGTTATATTTGAAATTTCCACGCATTCAGGTTTTTCACTGATGCACACACAACTTAACTTGTCTTATGTTAGTGTGCAAAGCTTTAAAGTTTCCTCTTCAATGCAATGTAACTTTAAAAATATATGAATATGACGGGTGAATGCTATTCGTCGTAATTAAAGAGCCTTTATTAGTGAATCTATGTGTTTTCCTCTGGGAAATTCTGAGGTTTATTCTAAAATCACAGAATAAGAGAGAGAGATCACTGCTTACGTTGTCCTTTGTGAATTTTGATTTTGAGATGCTGAATATCTCACACACACATTATATGATATGATATATATATATATATATATATATATATATATATATATATATATATATATATATATATATATATATATATATATATATATATATATATATCATATATATATCATATATATCATATATATATCATATATATCATATATATATCATATATATGTATATATATAATATGTGTATATATGTAATATATATATATATATATATATATATATATATATATATATATATATATATATATATATATATATATATATATATATATTTATATATAACTGAGACATATCCATATAGTGTGTGTTTGTATTTATTTTCTGGTATCAGTTTTACCTTTCTGCTCAAACGTATATCCCAGATGCAAATGGCATTAAGAACATGTTATCGCTGCCGCTTATGTACATTATTCTGAGACAGATGGTCTCTATTCAATGGTGCTAGATGGTTGTGACTTGAATAAACGGCAGTGAAAATACATGGCCAGAGACTGTCGACCCTCTATATAATGGATCCCTGTGTGAAGTTTTCTTGGTAAGAGAAGAGATGGTTCATAGTCCCAATATCCCATTTTCACCTTTATAAGATACAGGAAATTGCAGCTAAATTTTTATGCTTCAGCCAAAATTTGCAGGATCATAAATAATATGGAGAATTCAAGTGCACACATGTGTGTGTTAATACACACATTATGGAAAATTCAAGGGAATACCATGTATTTATTTAGTCGGAGCAGAAAGGAATTGTCCACCCTACCAAGGTTTCCTCAACAAACAAGAACTCTCCATAATATGATGCTGATAATACAAAATTGTCATCATACATGCCACAAGCAAGGTTCCTACAATATCATGCTTTTAATAATTACATTTACTCAAGATTTTTTTAAGTCAGATGTCGAGAGATACAGGGTCCCCTGCTACAGGGCTAACAAAGCACCTAAGGATACCAGCCATGTGAGTTCTCTTCAGTAGTTTTATGCTGTACATTCATGAAAAGATGTAACAGTGCTGTCATTCCTTCTCTGGCGAACAGGAGAATAATGAAAGGCCAAGTAACTGAATGGAAAATGAACTTGGAGTGCTATGTGACCTTATTTTTGCTTTGTAACTATTAACGGGCCAGTTCATTAGATATGACTTGCATATTAGTATACTACTTTCCTTGCAACTTTAGTGATTATGTACATTGACGTACAATATGTGTGCTTTCACCTGCTAATAATATAAGCAATTTTAGCGATTATGTACATTAACGTACAATATATGTGCTTTCACCTGCTAATAAGATAAGGAACAGTTCTAGTGCTGTATTAAGAAGGAACGTTAAGACACATGTAACTGCTACGTGATCTTTGATGTGTAGCACATTGATTTGTTATAACCGTTAATGCACCTGTAAGCCAAGTAGATGATTATGTATACTTAGTGTAGTCCAGACGTCATAGGACAAACCGTAAGATGGCTGTGAAATCTTATAGAATTTCTGTGGATTCATTTACAGAGTATTATACGTGCATGATTAGTTGGTTGATTTTCTAGGGAACTGGTCACTAAGTTTCAGTAAGGTAAAGGCAGTTTTTCGTTAACTTTTAAAAGGAAATCTTCGTTATGGGAGATGTGATAGCACTGAAGAATATGTTTGTAAGATTAACTACACTTGACCTAAAGAGGCTTTCAAATATCTTTTAATAAATGCAATCACTTAAACATGTCTTTCTTTAAGAACCCTAAATCACATAATATAGAATATATAACATGGCTTTTATAATGGACATGAAAAAAAATGTATATAATTAAAATATTAGTACTTAACATTTATTTCCAACCTGCGTATCAACTAACTAAAGAGAGACAGCTGTCAGAAAAATTATGATAAGAGGAAAATTTTAAACTGCATCTCTTTTTAATGCGGCATTAAATGATAAAAGATAAAGATTGTTAAAATAGCTGACTTCGATCATTAACCTGAATGAGTAACCTATTTTGACGTTTGCCTGGTATACCTGTGATTCACCTTTATTGATTACCTTTTAATCAGAGGCAAAGGTAGAGTTGTCGCTGCTCTCCAGCAAGCTTAATTCCAGTGGCATTTATATTCCAAAAACACGAATTGCAAGTCTTATATAATGAATGGCATTTAAAGTATATAAATCTCTCTATGGTTTACTTTGAATCCTTAGCTTTCGTTGGTCATATTGCAAACAGATAAATTATTGAAGATAAGGGAACATAAATTAGCTGTTGCAGAAGTTGGGGATAAGATACTAGTATTATAAACTCGAAGTCTATAGAGGCCACATGGTTTTTTTTTTTTTCAGTGTCTGATGTCTAAAATGTATAAATCACTTCTGATGAAATTCCTTCGTTCTTGATTCTTTAGTCACTTTGTTAAAAAAAAAAGTACTATCAAGCTCAAATCGAAAGTAAAGTGATGGTCTCAGTTTCGATCAGCACGTCTTTCATGGCATGTGAAAAGCCTTCGTCGTTTTCATCACAAACATATCCACGGAGATCGACCAACCTTCGCAAAAAAGAAACCGAAAGTTACGTTAAGTGAGATTCCCTTTCTAGACCGGCGTACGATAGGGAGGTAAGGCCCGCTGAAGGAAATGCTCGGCGACAGAATTATAGATCGACTAGACATCTCTTCCACGGAAACGTCGTATCTGGACAATAAAACATTTACGATAGCATAGGAAACCACCAAAACAAACGTTAATATAGATACTAATGTTATACAAGCAGAAAAGAAAGAAAAAAAAAACACGTATCAGACGTAGAACTCTCCGATACTGTCAAAACTGCAAATTGTTTAGGTGTTCTTTTATAATAGTTCCAACAGTTCCCTTTGCAAAATGATCGAAGGGAATCGTAAGTGTGAGTTGTTCCTTAATATTCTCAGCCTCTGCGGACTTGGCTTCTGCTCAATCAATCCAACTAGACTTACTGATACTTTATTAACTGATAGAAACCTTGTCTACCTTCCCACATGCATTACGTAAACATTCTAGCCACTACTTTCATTATATAATATACCACTTCGTATGTTCTTTAGCTCTATTTCATAGCCTTTCACTAGTTCTATTTAATAATCAATGACACGCATACTCTCCATAAAAAATATGTATATTTGAATTTTAAGTGGCGACCGTAAAAAGTTAAAGGTTCAGAAAGCTTTATGTCGATAGACGTAGAAGATGAAAAGAAACCTAAATAAGATGCAACCTAGAGAATTAAACAAACACATGAAATAAAGCAATTTAGGCCGAGTAAACACGAGTACGTTAATGAAAATAAAACAAATGAAACCGTACAGTTGCAAGTCTAGTGCCACTCCCACAGAAAATAATTATCTACAGACCCAGACTGAAACATTATCGCGGATAAGAAATGCGACAACGAAGTGGGATTTTCCTTTTGATATCAGATTAAATATTCAAAACAACACTATGGTTCCAAACAAACTACTGATTACTTTGCATTTTGTAAACAACAAATATGAGCTGTGAACTAATTATAACGATCGCTATATCAATACTGATAAGGGTGATAACTTAAGTGATAATGAAAATAAAAATTATGTAAACGATTATAGTGACGATCACCACGATATTTAAATTGAGAGGACAAGGAAACCGAAATGTAATGATGTTAGTAACCGCAACATTGATAGCAAGAGAACTACAATAGAGCAAATGAGTGGGAGGGGGAAGTGAGTTTTAGTTTTAAAAAAATAATAATAATAAATCTGTAAAACACCATTCGAAATCAGACAGGCTGACAGGATACAACCTCAGTATCTGATAGACTCAGAAAAACCGGGATTTGAAGCAAAGCCACAAAACCTGTACACAATCCTGGATCACGATCTCACAATATGATAAAATTATAAAAATTATAAAAAATTATAAATGATAAAAAAAATACGCTTTTTACAACCCCTTACAAGAAACCATGGATTCTATTCCGAGATACCAAGGCTGTAATCGGCGACGCTAATGCAACTATTACTGGGGATGGTGGAGAAAAATGTTTAATAAAACTGACGCTTTCGGATCCTTTAGTCTAGGTGAGCAAAGCGAAAATGGAGACGGATTTGTTGCTGTGCTCAGCGAAAAATCCAGTCATAAGAAACCCCAGGCAACAACAAAAAAAAAAATCGAAATAAAATCGACTGTGTCACCATCTCACAGAAATCGAAAAACTTCATTAAAATAATGATAATAATAATAATTCCATATTCTAATTCAAATTTTACTTTTATTTTGTAAAATATGAGAAAAATAAACTTGGAAATTCTTTGGTATTTGAAAAGAATCCCGACACAACAGCGTTCAATGAAATAATCCAAGAAGAACCACCAGCCTTACTTTTCGAAACTGAAAAGCAATCCATGTAATAAAAAGGCAAAAGTGAAGGAATAGATAAACTAACCATAGGGCTCATAAACGAATGGCGGAAATTTGTTGTTGTTTTAATGGCTGTGTAATACTACCTGGGAACGAAAGACCTATTTAAAAAAAATGGAAATACTGTAAAAAACATCTAACAAGGCACTCCGAACATCTGCCCCCGCCGAAACAAAGGATGTCCCTTTCCTGCGAAGTCCTCCTAAGTCAGCGTCATCACAGGCCTTCCACACCCGAGCCTTGTTGGCCCAAGGTCATTGCCTTCCGCCTGAATTCATCTCCCCCTCGAGGAAGCCCTGCGAATTCACCCCTCTTTGCTACGGCCGGATGAGTCTGACATTCCAGGGGGCGGAAACAAGTACCCCAGAACGAGAGAGAGAGAGAGAGAGAGAGAGAGAGAGAGAGAGAGAGAGAGAGAGAGAGAGAGAGAGAGAGAGAGAGAGAGAGAGAGAGAGAGAGAG